GATGGATGGATGGATGGATGGTGGATGAATGGATAGATGGAAGGATGGATGGATGGATGGATAGATGGAAGGATGGATGGAAAGTGGGATGGAAGGATAGATATACATAATTAATAAACCATAGTGTCTCTCCCTTCACCTGTCCATAACAAACTTCAAATACTCATGAATTCCTTCCTCTGTCTCTTCACCTTTAATCTGAGAATGCCAAAATAAATGTTAATACAACGCTGCAAGCTAACTCGGTAGTGGACCCAGGAAGTTCCAATAGGGACAACGACTTAGGTCAGGTGTGTAACAACATTCTGTAGAAAAAGAATTCCTTCAATAAGGGTGGGTTTGGGACCTGTTTAATTTTCAACATTGTTGTTCTCAACAAAAAGGTCCTCATAACTTCACAGACAGACTTGAAGGCTATACTACCTTTCTAATTAGACGTTTGGCCAGCTCCAAGATACTGATCTCAATATCACTGCCAATATTGTATGTCTCACCTGGAAAAAGAAAAAAAATTCTTTCTCTTTACTAGTATTCAGATATGATAAGTATGTGCAGGAGTGGAAAACGTTAACAAAGGCACCCCAAACTCAGCTTTTGTGTAAGTAAATAACGAAATCTGAGAAAATAGTGATCGCCACTGAATTAGAATTTTTAATCCATCGCAGCTACCCTTGTTTAGGTTTAGTTCTACTATGCCACTTACCATCTTGGCCATCGTGGAGTATTTTGATAAATGCTTCTGCAACATCAGTTACATAAAGAAAGTTTCTAATAAAAGAAAAAAAAAAGAGAGTTGATAAAATGTAAATTATAAGTAAATAAATGAATGGCTGACTGACTGATTTTGCGAGTGGACAGAAGGATGGATTCATGGGTGGATAGATAAATTAGTGGATGGATTGGTACTAAGGTGAAAGGATGGATTGGTACTAAGGTGAAAGGATGGATAAGTGGGTGGATGGATGACATTGATGGATGAAGAGATGAATGGATGGGTGGATGGACAAATGAATGGATGGTCAAATAGATGGATGAATGGGTGGACATATTGGTGGAATACTGATGGCAGCCATGACAGGAGGCATAATAATAGAGTCATTCTCCCTTGGAAAACTGAATTCTTTTTTATGTAAATTAGATCAGACCAGATTCAATTGTTCCTGCCTCCTGTCATGACTGCCATCAGATAAAACGGATGTGAATATTTTATATTCTAACCTGGCTTGAAGTCCACTGCCATGAATAAAACTGGAGGGAAAAACCACAGAAGTTAATAATTTCATATAAAAAACATTATGTAAAGATAGCATAGATGTTTTAAGAATTCTTACCACTTCTCATCTCTCATTAGAAGTCCAATAAACTTGGGTATGACCTGGAAAAATTATAAGAAAGCAATAAAACAAAGGTACATATTAATAACTTGACAAGTTCTGTCACGAAGGCGAAGCCAGGATTTTTTTCAAGGGATTGCGCAAATCAAAAAGCCTACCATATTTTTATTTTTTCCTTCTGAAACTCCAAAGCAAATGATAATAAAAATGCAAGGAGAAGCCAAAGTATGAAAAATCACAAAGATAGCTTAAAAACAGGTAACAGGGTAAAGGTTGCAGCCACATTATTTTTTGATCACTTCATTTCTATGAAGGGGGTCACTAACACCCTAGGGCCCCACTTGTGACATCCTTGTGCCATGACAATACCTTTTCTGGATACTGATGTGGTCCGTAGACATTGTTACTTCTCGTTATAATGACAGGAAACTATTGAACAAATAAAATAATATAAATTTTAACAACCTTTTAAAAAAAGTCTTATATATAGGTCCTAAATCTCTCTCATATATCTCTCTTTCTGATTGGTTAACTGACACATACTTTATGATCTAGCAAACAGCATGCATTGTGCAGTTTCTGTCCCAAATTAATTATTGCTTTGAGTAAGAATTATTATTTGTATTTAAAAAGATATTAAAAAAACCAGAGCACTCAAGAAATGCCGAGGATTGCAGCACTCTGTTATTTTTCAAACCTCTTAAGACCTCCTATTAGGTAACTCTTAAACTCTCTTGTGTTCTGCCAAAAATTGCAATTTGCTTTAATTACAACTGTGAACAGCATAGGCACACGTTTTATAGATAGATAGATACTTTTATTTAAAGAGGGTTTATCCTTTCAGTAAATATACAAATATAATTGACTGTTATCAACAGGAGCCCTTTAATTTCATCAGCTAGTTCATACCTTGAAACTCTCTACGTATGACATGACTATAAACTCAGCAGCTGCTTTGGAAGCAGCATACGGGTTACTTGGATTGAGAGGAGATGTTTCACTGTGCGTGGAGCCACACTATCAAAAGAAAGAATAATGGCAGTACAGTTAGGGTTAATGTAAGGTAACGTTAATTAGATTAGGTTGAATGCCTGAAAATTTTATAGACTGCGAGCAGTGTTACTTTTCCCTCCAGTAAAGATGAGTGTTTTGGGATTCCTGTGGACACACGCAGAAATCGGAACCAAGTAAGCAGCCAAGTGAAATCTATACGCATCCACAGGAATCCCAAAATACTCATCTTTACTGAGTCTGGAGGGAAAAACGGGATGGCCTGCAGTCTAAAAATTTTCATATAACTATAATTTCCCATGACAAGGAAACATTCCGTACTTACATCAGTTCCTCCACCATAAACTTCATCTGTGCTGACATGAATGAATCTCTTGACTTTAGCTTCATGTGCTACATTTATTAGTACGTGTGTTCCATATACATTGGTCTTTGTGAAGGCAAGAGAGCTCCAGAATGAATTATCTGGGGGGAGAAAAGTAGAATGCAAATTTAAAATGGAATAGAAATAATGAATGAAACAAAAGGAAGAAAAGATTGTGTGAAATCAGTGCAATGGAATGGATTTCCTGTGTGTGTCTATCGATATCTTATATTTTTAGTGGATTATCTTTTAACTATTAATTATTGTATGCTTGTTTTTGGTGACAAGGGAGGGGAGGGAGGAGGTTATATCTTTCTACAAAGCGTATCATTTAAAACTATCATTTCAAAAATAAATGATTTTTTTCACCTAGTTATTGAGTGTGTGAGCTGTCTGTCTGTCTATCTATTATTCTGCCTGGCTGTCTATGTGTCTGTCTAAAAACTCACCAACATGAGTCTGTGCAGCAAAATGAAGAACCGTGTCAATTTTCTCACATTGGAATATGTATTTCAAGTAGTTTGCTTCACAAATATCTCCCTGTTAGGAAAATGACATACATACATGTGAAACATGTTTTATGACTTCTTTGGGCTTCCTGTGGTAAAACCTACACCACAGGTAACCCAACATAGAATGTCTGATGAAATTTTCACAAGATGTTTGGCTAATTTTTTTCACAAATGTTATTTATTATTTATCTATGTTTCATTTCATTTCATTTTCTACTAACAGCACAGTCAAAAAACCATATTTGCATCATTTTATTTATTCATCCATTCATTCACTTTGTTCACTTACTTCAATAAATTTATAATTTGGCTTGTCTTGTATCTTTTGTAAATTTTTCAAACTTGCACAATAGTCAAGCTATAACAATAGGATGAAAGAAATTAATTAAAGCTAAAAAAATAGCATTCAGAGAATGGGTTGTTAATAATAATATATATATAGAAAATGTATAATATAAGAGGGTGAAAGAGAAAAACAGGAACAAAAAAAATATAGAAATAAGTGGGGATACTACCTTATCCAAATTAACAACATAATATTCTGGGTATCTTTCTACAAGAAGAATAACAACATGTGAACCTCTGAAAAATCAAAACATTGAAAAAGAATCAGAAATCTTCATCAAAACAAATACATATTCAAACGAAAAAAAACCCAAAAAGTTACTTATTCTTACATGAATCCAGCTCCTCCAGTGACTAAAATCCTCTTCTTGAATGTTTTCTTACAACAGCAGCGTGTTGTACTTGCTGCCATGGAAGACAGCCGTGAAATTCTTCCTTAATTCCCAGACAACCGTTTCATCTCATCTCGTCCGCCATCTTGTTTCACGTGGCAACTTTTCCAAACGCACGCACGCGTCGTGTTGACAAAATGGCGGACGTGTGGAACAGTAATTCGTTCTCCCCAAACTAAATATTATTCTAGGCTCATTCAGCCGTTATATTTGACCCTTCACATCAAGGACAGGTCATTAAAACCCGCATAGGCATTTGAAATGGCTTTTTGTATGATTTTGCTTATTTTGTATGGATTTTCTGGGGTATTTTTCGAGCCGGCTTCTGCGAAAGTCATTAGTGGAGTTTTGAGTTCCAGACAAGCTCGCTTTTATGGCGGCCAGTTTATCACGAAATTCTGCTTTCATGGTAAGTTAAAGTCTTTAAGAGCTGCTTGCCTAACCAAGATTGGAGGCCCAGTCCTTGGTATTTTACGTAGCACTTGCGCAAAGATTAGTATCAGCTGTTTAATTCTTCAGCTGTTCACAACCATTTTAAAAAGTCATGCTTACTTTCAACAGGTGAGGGTATGTTTAAGTACACTCTCAACGCCTCTTCAACTGGTCGGCTTTACTTCTACATTGAAGAGAAATGGCTTAACTTAATGACAATAAATACTTGCAAAGAGAAGCTGGCCATGGCCCAATATACTCGTAAGAAATAATTTTTAAATTTGAGAGGAGGGGGGAAATATGCCTGAAAGAGAGGAAGGAAGAAGTGACGAAGGGATTGGTGTTCCTCAAGAAGGCCCTAGATCATTGCCAGTCAGATTTACTGGACAAAACCAGTCTTTCTTTTGAGAAAAAACATTGTGGTCCAAAACCCATGCCAGGAATCCGGTAGATAAAGTGAAGGGTTTAAATGTAGTATTCCAGGAAATTACTTTCAATAAGCTAGAGGGAATCAAGGGTGGTGTAGCTTATCTTAGTCCTCTTCGCTCTCTTGGGAACATAGGCCCTTCATAGGTCCTTAAAGGGTGGTGTAGCGGTAGTATACTCGACTCTCGGTTCTTGGGTGCAATTCCTGGAATCAGCATTACATGCGAGGGTTATTCATTACTGGATTTACCACAAAAGACAAACACTGATGCATGACAGAGATATAACATTTGTCTGTAATGCAATGAAATCTACTCACAGATATGGGCTCAATTTACTTCCAGATCAGCTTACTGAGTTGTCAGGAGAGATGAAGTTTGAGCAATGGACTGATCCCTATATATGGTATATCGTCTATGCCGACGATGTGTCATGTGATCCAAGCCAAAAGGTTCACCATGATGTTCAGTATACACTAGAACTATACAACCCAGACTCTAAGGGCAATCCACAAAACCACTTCAGCTATGACGAGACAGGTTAGTAACAATGTCACATACTGAGAGGCATACCATGGAATATCCCACAAGGCACTTGTATTTTACAGTACACCCAGACATTCTGAAGAGTGTTTTTACCAAGAAAGTGGGATATTCTATGTTTTGCCATGAGAACACATTGTATAACTATTTTATCTGTCAATGCCTACTGGGAAGATACATAGACAAACAACAGCTTTCCTGCATTCTGATTGGCCGTATTTATAATGGCTATCAGCTCACTCATCTATCTTTCCCCCTCCCTTCCTGCCCGGACCCACCCTGCAAACAACAGATGTTTGAGCTCAAGCAAGGCTGACCAAAATACATGATATTAACAATGTCCATTATTTACTAATGCATTTCAGGGCTGCTGTCCTTCTATGAGTTACTGGGCTTCCTGTACTTTGCTGGCACAGTTATTTATGGTCAGCGACTATGGCAGACAATTCAGAAAGGAGGACCAATGCATTTGGTAAAGATGATATTAAAGCTCAGCTTATTATCTCTTGTTTTAACAGTATCAAACTGCTGATACAGAGTTAATAAAAGTATTAACTATGGTTGATATTTAAATTACTTTTAGGTAATAAAGTTCCTGACTAAAGCACTAGTCTACCATGGATCAGCTGTTTGTTTCACATTAATTCATTTATTCAGGTACACTATACCATATATGTTTACTATCAACTCCATATAAATAACTATATAAACTTTTATTGCAGTGAAACCCTATGAGTTAGTATGCATGCTGTACTTTGGCACAAATCAGTCCATGTCAAAATGAAAGCGAGCTATCTATCTTTACAGGTATTCAGGTGATGGAATTGGATTCATTTGGCTGCCAAGGTTTTCCATAGGTAATAGTAACATTCCTTCTAAGTTATATAGAGCAGATTTCTTATGACTGTAAATTTTTATAGAACACATGGGCATGCTGTGCTTTGATTTGCTTCACTTTAGTTTTTATAAGTCACATCCTTGTTCTTAAAATGAGAAACAAATCCAAGTTTTATGCCTTTCATACTTTTCTCTCTCTCTCTGTTTTGTAGTTTTAAAGGGTCTGGCTGAGTTTGAGATGTTGTCAATGATGTCAAGGTTGTGTATTGGATACACACTCAGTGCCTCTCACTCTTCAGCAGATCCACAAATCATTAGCAAAGTGAATACAGGTGTCGTAGCTGTTAGTATAATAAAGGTATGTGGCACAACTTTTAAAAGAGTTATATACAAGACCTCTTGAAACTTCTAACTGAGGTCGGGGTAATAGTGGCAGCCAAAGTACCCAGGAAATAGAGCACACATATTTGTGAAACCAATATTATGTATTGTCTGATTGCAGCTATTTTGCTGTTATTATATTACAAATAGTGGATATAACTGGAGCAGAAGATTGGGGACAAAAACAAATACCTCTACGCCTCTTTGTTTGGTTCATGCCTGAGTGAATTCTTAGCTTTTTTACAACTAAACAGTTGATAATTAAATAATTTCAAGTGCTCCTTGGATAGTTATTGTTTCACAGATATATGGGATGCCCTCTAACACAGACTAAAAACTATGTTCCTTGCTTTAGTATTGGTTGTGACTTTATTATTTATTCATTACATCTTTTAGGTCATTATAGAAATATTATCATTGAACATCACTGGATTGCTAGTTCAACTGGTGCTAGCAGGAGGATTTAGTTATATTATCAGCAAGAAAATTATAGATGAAAGAAGTACACTCCGTAGAGAATTTTATAGTAAATTTATGAAGGTAAGAAAATGAAATAGAGCAGATTATCGTGATAATTTTCTTTTTTTGAAGTAACATCTGGGGTAGCTTATAAGGTGCTCAGCACTGCTGATATGATGTTTGCTTTTGCTATGGTTGTAGGTGAGTTGATATTCAGACTCACTATCATATGTGCATAAAGATACTGGTTGTTCCTCTCCTGTGCTGCAATGAACTACTTTGACAATACAGCAGCCATCTAGGATCATAAGGCATCATGGGATATCCAGGGGGCAAAGCAAAACAAAGATGGTGGATAGTATATAGAGGTTAATTCATGTGTTTGTCTTTCTCTGATGGGTAAAGGTGATTGATGCCCCATCTTTGGCTGTAATGATGATAGGCAATATAAAGAAAAGTATATCAAGCCTCCATTAGCCCTGGATACCCTGTACTCCCTTGCACTCCAAGATGGCTGCCATGTCATCTTAGTAGTCTATGGTTCTTTAAGTATTCCTCCATCTGAAAAAATCAGCACTTTATTTTGGGTCTGGTGTATTATACTTAATATGCCTTAGCATGACCCTGTCACCCTGTCAGTAAGAAAATCATGGCATAAGCTAATCAAAATTTTCAATCTCCTTTCTAGGGATGCTTGCTTTGGCTACTTGCAGCTCCATTCCTAGCACTTTTAATCCTATTCCTTCCTGCTTACCTAAGATACAAGGTAAGTAATAGAGACTGTGTGCATCTTGAAAACCAAACACGTATTGCTCATGTCAGTGCTGGCCAACTAGTAATACTGTATCTCCACTCAAATTTTAACCTGTAGTTCAATCAGTTACTTTGTTGGATTTTCAGATTTCAATCTGGGGTCTATTGACAGCACAGACTGCGTCTATATTATGGCTGTACAATCTGTTTCTGTCACGTAGTCTCTACTGGGAAGTATCATCACTATCAGCTTCTACATTACCATTACGGCATGACAGAAACTTTGGAGGAAAAAGTTATAATTCTGATAAACGACCTATTGGAATGCACAAATCTGTTTCAATTAGCCGCTAAGTTAGTGATGTTTACTAATAAGCACATTTTATGGTGAAACAATTCTCTTCTTTTCTTTTCCGAAATTGCACCTCTACAGTCAACTTTTGTTACAGCAGACACCCTCGAGACTGTCACTTTCTATGGAAGAGTGTTTCCACAATAGCAAGAGTTAATTATAATCATTTCTGTCGGTATTTTCTGCCAGGGATTTTGCTTCTGTTGACAATAGCAAGGTGTCTGTAAGGCCAGAGTTGAAGTTCACTGTACCATTTTAATGCAAAAATTATTTACTTGGACAGTTTTAAGTTTGTTAGGTGGAAGCTAAACGGAGCAGGTTGGTAAATAATAATATTGTGTTGGGTATACTGATAAACACAGTGTAATATGTTTTAACATGTTGAAAAGGGTTTTTCTGCAGTAATCATTACAAAAAGCTGTTGTTTTGTTGTCAGATGTATTTGAGGCTAAACTGTTAAGATGAAACTAAAATATCAATATTAAGAATATATAATTATTGTAAAGGTTATGAATTTGTATTTAGAACTAAAGAATTCAATAAATTTTCTAGATTTGATTTAAGGCGTTCTTTTTGAATGATGGCTACATGTTTTAGTGAAAATGCATTTATTAGGGTGGCTCTCATTCTCCACAATGTCCAGAACATCATTGAGGTTTTAGCTTCAATTACAGAAATAGAACCCAACTTTCTGCACATTGCTGGTGATGTAGTGTTGCAATGCCTCGTGGGTAGACACCATGAGGAATTTTCTGTTGTAATGTTGCATCCAACAGTCTCATTGTCTGTAGCCCTTTGAGTGTAATAATGTGAGATACCTAATGTTTAGTTTCTATTACCTCTTACTCTTGACCCTATCTTTATCACTATACTTATTATCCCTACTCCTGTCTCTTGTTCTTTCGCCTAATCTTTCTCTACTATCTCTCCTGTCACCCAATCTTTCTCTACTGTCCCTCCCTTGTCGTCCACCCCATCTGTCCCTATTATCATAGGATCTGTCTTCCATATGGGATGATTGTTCATTTCTATCCCTTCTTTCTCTTTTTGTTTCCACATATCTATCTTCCCTTTCAGTTCTCTTTCCATAATCCCATTCCCTTGTGTTGCTTGCTCTTTCATCTCTTTCTTTATAAGAGTCTCTATCATAGCTTCTTTCCTGTAGTCGAGCATCTTTTTTCTTCTCGGAATATGATTTTTCTTTACTTGATTTCTCTTTTTGCTTCTCATCCTTTGAAAAACGGCTGTCATCTTGACTTTCTGAACTAGATAAACTTTCCTTTCTCTTAGATTTTTTTTCTCTGTGTTTTTTATGTTTCTTGTCTTTCTTCACTTTCTTTTTCTTCTTTACTGGTTCAAGAGGTTCTGGTTCATCCTCTGAAGCTGATGGTGAAGAAATCTTTGGAGCACATCCCTCTTCCAAAATTTCTTTTCTATTCCCCTCCTCATCCTTCTCGTCTCCTTTTGGCTTACGATAACTTGAGCAGTGGTCAACTCTGATTGTTCTTCCACCAAGCTGAACAATGAAAAATAGTATCAATTTGAATGCATATCCTTTATTAGGATACTTCTAATGTTTGCTACCCTAGGTTGAGAGGATGGGGGTAGGAGTCACCATGTAAAGCTAATCAGCTAAATTTTATACAAGACACTAATGTCTTTTAAAAGGCTATGGCTAATAATAATAGCTGCTCCAGACATGGTGACCAGCTATATCGGGCTGATCAACATGACCAGACAATTTGACCAGTCAATAGGACAACCGCAAGCGGCATTTGACTGGAGTGCCAATTTTAGCCAGAGATTTTCTCATCAACCAGATAGTTTTAGCCCAGCTACTAATAAAATAACCCTATCACTTGTGAGCAAACTTCTCTCTTAATATTGTAAATATCTTTGAACCTTCTTCAAAAAAATTAATAATAATTACCATTATTATTTATAGCGTACCTTGATTCCATTAAAGTTGTCGACAGCTAGGATAGTGCTTCTTTGGTCTTCATAACACAAAAAACAGAATCCTTTCTGCTTGCCTGTTTTCTTATCTCGTACCAGGTTTACATTGACTATCTCTCCATATCTAATTAAAGGATAAAATCAAGTTGAGATAGAAACCTAAAATGGGTTACCTTTGGAAATTAGACACAGGTAACCCATGTAGGAAAAATGAAGAAACTTACTGTGAGAAGACACATAGGATATCTCCTTCTGTTAGATCATATGGCAGTCCACCTATGAATATATATGCACTATCCTTGTACTGTTTATGCCATGATAAGTCATCTTCAACGCCCATGTCTAACATCCGCTCGTTGAGCTTTTGAATATTCTTGACATTTCTGAATAATAATTATATTGCAATTTAATAAAGAGTTGGAATTAGTTTTAAGGGAGAGGGGATGTGAGGGATATATTCTTTGATCTCACTGCAGCTGGAGGTAAGGGGGGGCATGATTGGGGAGTAAGACCATGAATCCCCTCATAGGGGTCATGGATTTTTTAAACTGCACTTCTCAACGTATCTGCCATGTTTGATGAAGTCAACACAAAATAGATACAGAATACATATATATGTAACTGGTTTATTTTATGTCATCCAACATGGCATCTAAGTATGGTCATTCCAATGAAAAACTTGCACCCTAAGAAATGCTATATAAATGTTTCTTGGGTTTCAAAAACAATAAGATGTGATACAATGAAAGTGGGATGACGTCCAGTTGAATTAACTCGGACGAAACTAAAGACTCTTAAATATTTTAAACTTGACGATTCATATTACGATCATATCTATCAACAACTATTTGAGTTCCACAACAACTTCTTATAAAATATCATACACCAAAACTCATGCACAAAATAAGATTTGAAAAACACTATACTAACGTCATAGGATTCATCTTGATACTAGAGGAAGATTACCACCGGAAAATGTTTTCTTTAGTGTCAATATATCCACGAGAGTTTACACTTTCATTCGTTCTCCAGACACAACTTTCAAAGATGGCCGCCAACTGGTTGACCAAATATGGTAAAATGAGCCCGCAGATCTTATCAGCTGTGTTACCCATCATCACTAGGAACGCCTGTTGTTTTCTGCATGTTCGCTTGTCGAAGCACAAAACGAGAAGGTGACAAATCTCTCAAAAAAAGGCATCAAAATGCAAAGAATCGGGACTTGGAATGACGGGCATGGTGAAGCGGTACTGTCCCTTGATATTAATAGTTTAGGAATCCTGGCATCTGGTGGAGAAGATCGTCTTTCTGTCTGGACAAGTGAGGGTGTTCCTATGACCAAAATTAGCCCTCCAGCCACAGACTCCAGCGAAGTTACAAGCGTCTGTTTCTGTCGACGTAACGAGAATCGCCTGTTCGTTTCTTCAGGGAATAAAGTCTTCCACTACGATTTAAGATCCTTGGATAGTCCAGTTTCTGAGTTTCACTTCAATGAAGATGAAATTAACCAACTGGTCATCCATGATGGCGGGCAGTATCTTGCTGCCTGTGACGACACTGGTGCTGTAAAAGTCATCGATACGCGTCAAAACAAACTCTTTAAAACCCTCAGTCGAGGCCATGGTAATATTTGTTCAACGGTTCAGTTTAGGCCTCAAAGGCCGTGGGATTTAGTGACAGGCGGAATGGACTACAAAGTAGTTTACTGGGATTTCTCGTCTGGTCGTGTGCTCCAGGATGAAGACATGCAACAGGGAGTAGAGTCTGGCGCCTATTTTGTAAACCCGCCGTTTGTTCATTCGCTTCACGTTAAGGAAGACAGCAGGAATTTAGCTGCAGGTTTAGGTAAGAATTACAGCTAGTTTTTCATGTGATTGGGATCCACATTGGTCTGTTTGCTATGCAAATGAAATATGGTTGGATTCTTTTCTTGCAGGGGATGGAAGCATCCAACTGTTTCACTTCGAGGGAAGGAAAAAGCTTATCGTTGATCAGAAGATCAAGGGACACACACAGGGAGTATCTCAAGTTCACTTTCCAAAGTTTAAACCTTCTGAAAATATTCTTATATCTGGTGGTAATGATGAAAAACTCATTTTGTGGAATTTCAAGTTGAATGATGGTCAGAAGACTAATGGGAATAATGCATGTGTCTTGGACCATGAGGTGAATCCTTTTGAATCTTCAAACTGTACCATTGAACATGGCTCTAAAGTGAACTGGATTGTTTCTCATTCAGAGCAAAAGAACTTAGTTTTTGTTGCAGACCAGACCAACCAAATTGCAGTTTACGAAGTTTTATAACCCTGTCATATAGACTCAAGGACCATGGAGCACCATTTAAACTAGGGGGGAGGGGGGAGAGGTGGCTGAGATTGGTTATACCATTAGTCTTGCATTCTTTTTTTGATGGCAGTACCAATTGTGTTTGTAAAGAAAATAAAGATATCACTGGCCTAGGAAACATGTATTTGTTGTTTTTATTCTTTTTTTAAATAGATTTTTCATATTGACTTACAAGTTGTCATGATTTTGTTCACATGATAATATAACTTGATTACATCCACCCTAAACAACTAACTGGTGTTGTAAATGTCATGAATTATAATCCCTACAACAACAGGTGTGTGCTTCAACTAAATAAGGCAAAAAAATCATCACCTTGACTTGAAATGGAATGTTATCCTGCACATCACTGAACCTATAAAACAGGTTTTATCGTTGACAGAGTAACTAATTTTGGATGTATTACATACTTCTTGAATTTCTTGATGATTTTGGATGGAATTGATCCTCACAATGTTAATTGAAAACCATAAAAATAAATGAAAGCTACTATGGACACAGACATTACATTCTGTAATAAAATGACAACAGGTTTCACACAAAGTTGTCTTGATGCTGGGCCATTATCCTACGGCTTCTATATTCCTAATTTATGATGCCTTGTCAATATGCATAAGTAAAAAGAGATAATCCGTTTAAAAATCAAATAACCCAGCTATTTTACAGAATAATGGCACCATAAACACAAAATAAAATGACAGTTTTAGTTCCATATATGGTTGAGTCCTCGGGGACTAAATTTTGTTGTCATGGTCGTCGTTTGACAGCACTGTAAATATGCACAGCATTTGTTTTGTCAAAGTTCAACCAGACACATTCCAAAATCTTTAAAGCTTAGCTAGCAATATTACAATATTATTATATTATCATTACCAATAACTGTTCTAATCTAACCAATCACTACCTTCATCTAACTACAGAGCTATGTAAAATTGATGGTATGAAAAAATGTGCCAAAAGGAACAATTCTCGTTGGTTATTGAAAATTATTATACAAAAGAAAGAATTTTTTTCTTTAACCATGTGAACATTATTCTACAGGCATTTTGGATTCAAACAACCCTGGGTGGAGAATGAAGAGAGGAATCTGCTAACAAAGCAACAAAAAGACCTGGAAATTTTGAACCAATTATCCTATTGGTTGGAATTCTGACCGTCAGTGTCTGTAAACCCATCTTGTGATGATTCTGAATCAGCCTCCGAAACAGAAGCAGGAGAAGAAGGATAAGAACAAGGGGAGACCGTCCGGTGTGATGTGACTCCATCACTTGCCATGGAAGAGGTTCTTGATGACCTGGCTGTACCTTTGCAATTATTTGCCATGGCTAATGGTGACGTCCCTTGTGGAAGGGGAGTCGCAAGTGGCGAAGAAGGAGTGTTTGTGATGGGTAAAGGAGACATGCGTGCTGGTGCCGCCACTAACGGTGACTTTCCAGAGTTGGACCTGTTTGATGGGAACAAAAATGTTTACTTAAGTCACATCACTAATGTCTCAAACACTTAGTACCAGTGGGTATTGATATTTATAACGATGATAATAATAATAATTATCTAATGCCAAATTTTCACCACAATTCGTTTACATCATTATCAACACAACATCCACCATCATCAGGTTACTGGCTACTTTTATCATCACCATCATGTATTATCAACATCATCACCAACATAACTATTGATTATCATAATCATCACCATCACAATTCCCCTATTTCATAATAAACCTCACATCAAAACAAACTATTGTTTTAACACTAGGGATCATGGTCGCTGGAAGGGGATGGAATGACAACAACACATCTTAAATCACAATGATATTTGGTACATGAGCTGATGAAGGCAAGAACAACTTTATATCATGCTAAATATCTCAAAAGCATAGAATTAACCTTAGATTTAGCCTAAATTTCTATAATTTTAGCCGACTTAAACCGTGACCTCATTATGAAATAGGGCAATTCATTACAACAGACTGTTTTTTTTATACGACTGGATTTACATGTTTAAACAATGGTAACTTACGAGACTGAAGTTGGACTGATACTGTTAGAGCTGAGCCCTACTGGTCCTGATTTAGCCATATCTACACAATAAGAAACTGTTAGGTTACAAAACCACCAAGTAATACTCATATAGTTCCAACTATTTCATCAAACTCATTTGAGAATTTGATTGTTTAGTCAAGCTATAAACATTAGGAAACTAATAAACTTAAGAAAACACTACTTTTTGATAGATACAGGACCATTTGATAGTTCATATTCCATGTTCCCGAGCCAATTAACTATTGGTAATTTGAAAACTGAAGTATATCAAAAAAGTACCAACCAATGACATAAGGTTCCAGTGCTTTAGGTACCATTGTTCTGGAGCGGTTCAGATTATCCTCTGAGCATAGCTTCTTTTCCAATCCAAATGCCATGTTCATTCGCTTCAATACTTCTATATCATCATGGATTTCAAATGTGTTGTCAAAGTTGAACAGGTATTCAAATCTGTGAACAAATACAGACTAGATTCAGTACACTTAATTTATTTGAATGAAAGATATACATGTAAATAAACAGGTGAAATGGTAAGTTGTTGAATGCGAACGATTCATTCCACCCCCTATTCTTTTTGCTTACAAAAAAAAGAAAATTCCTAAGCAAGTTCACCTGCTCTTCCTATTACTTACTTGTCATTTGATATACTGCAGTCAATGACTGTCTTTTTGCTGGTATTGACAATAATAAATGGCAGATGAATTGTTGTGTTCTGTGCAGGAGCTCCTTGCTGTTTTTCATTAACTCTGTTTCTTTGTACTAAGTTCTTGAATGCTATTTGCTGTCGAAACAGAATTAATTTTGTCAAACTTTGAAAACTGCTAATATTGACCTTCCATATTATAATGGCTTTGAATTGAGTTGGATTTGTTAACCTGTAAAATAAGTTCTTGAAGTTGGGCTGTCTTTTGCCGTATTCTGTCTTGTCTATCCTTTTTCTCCTCCTGCAAGAATTGACCAGGTTTTACAATTTATTTTGCTTTATAGTCTGATTTATTGACTTTTACCATCCTTAACAATGACTAATTTTAAGGTTTGAAAATGTAATCAAAAGACATTTATTCTTGTTTTTTTTTTTGAACTGAAACAGTTTAAATTCTAAAAGGTTTATACCTCTAATTGCTGACACTCCTGTGCCGAGTTGGTTGGTAATCCTATCCATCGTATTTCTTTCTTTTCTTTAGAAATAATGTTCATCGCCATGAGAACATTCAAAGCATCATAAACTCTTCTTCTGATGTTTTTCTGGTCATATGCCTGAAAGAAATGGAGAAATATTGAACTCTGTCATAAAATAATGTATTGTGTCTCTGAGTGCTTTCTTCAACAGGAAAGCAACTGCATGATATAAGTAAACCTTTCCTTTTTGTTTAATCTATCAGTGTTTTTTTCTTCATTTATTTCTTATTGTGTTAACTAGTCAGTCAGTCAATCAGCCAGCCAGCCTTCAGTCAGTCAGTCAGCCATTCATTCATTCATTCCAGTCAAACAATCACTTAGTTTGTCACTTAGTCAGTCAATCAATCAGCCAGCCAGCCTTCAGTCAGTCAGCTATTCAT